CCGTCTTGTAAGTGTCACAAATTTGGGCGTCTAAATGGAGCTCAATCCAAAGCTAAAATATCAAAAACACAACCCAATTAGAGCCTGTGCAACAACTGAGCATGCTCTGTGGACCACTGAGGCCACCCATGTTAAACTATTGTGGCTACGGTCTTTGATCATTGTAGCTATTGCCTTTCTAAGCCTGGCCAATATTTAATCATGTCTTTAACACTATCAAAATGGAACCCCCATAGGGCCAAGCTTCGGCCCTCGATGGGGCATCATGTCCAAGCAGCAGAGGGCTATTGGCGGGCAACCTGACTCCTAATCTGGGCCTTCATCATCCCCCCAGACACAGAGCTTTAGGGTAATTCTCTCCTGAGAGAGAGGTAAAAGGCCAAGGCAACACCAAAATCTCAGTTTGAGGATTTTGCCCCCCTAGTGTGTGTTGCAATGATAGCATCCTCTAGCTGTATACAAAAGGGCATAATAGAGCACAACCAGGCAGCGCTGAGAAAAAACTCTTCTTGGCCCCAAAACTGCATAGTTTGTTGCTCAGGCGACGAGGCTTTGGTTCATTTTCACGTTTTACCACTAAGTCTTTCATAGCTTAGTGAAATACTCAGGCAGTGAATTGTGGTATCTTCAAGTCTGCCAAACACCCACTTGTTGGCTGAGGAACCCTTATCTATTTCAAGCCTCTATCAGGATTTAAAATTACCTTGCTTTATTTTAACTTTACCCTAAGGAGCGCTCATCAGGTTTTATTTACCAAACTTTTTGAAAGGATGGCAAACATTGCTGTTTGGTTGATTTAACATGAACTGAATCGCATTCTTTTGGGATAAGTGCACCAACTTTGCCTGAAACCTTTAATGGATTTTCAGTGTTTTGGATGCTGGGCGGGGCGGCGACGATGTCCATATCACAAACAGAGGGCGAGATGGCTGAGGATGTGAACGGCAAGCCAGAAGTTCTGCTTGAGTGCATCTGAATGCAGGATCTGCCCCGAGAAGAGTGCAACCCGTCCCCTCCGCAGTTTCAAAACCAAGCACCCTGAGCTTTCTGCTCACACCTCTTTGCCCTTGCATTGCTCTCTCTTTCTCTATCTCACCCGCCCCCATCTCTTTATATGTCCAGCTGGCTGCGCCACAAAGACTGCGTCTCCAAGCTCCAAATGATCCTCAAACCCCCACAGGCTTTGTTCTGCTCATTTTCCCACTCCCTAGAGATGGAGTTTAGCAGCAAAAATTAAAATGAGGAAAGGAGAGAGGGAGAGAAAAAAGATGGGGGAGAAAGATTAAAAAGGTGAGATAGAGTGAGAGAGGCTCTGAGAATGAGAGAGTAAGCCAAGGAATACTGTCGGAGCTTCCAAAGCCCGACTTGAGGGATTGCAAAGACCTTGAGTCTTGCAAGATTACAAAGACAGCGAGGAATTGGTGTAAACACCTTTTGCACTGTGACCTTGAAACAGAAACAGCAGTGGGACGTTCTCAAAAGAGTCATTTTGTTGATAAGTCAAAGCAAGAGAACCAAAAACTTTCTATTGAAGTTAAAAGGTATGTCAGCTGCACCTCTCCTCCATTTTCACTGCTCGTAAAGCCACTTGTTTCTCGGTGCCACTTTCTGCGGGGGCTAAGATCATGTTTTCCGGTACTCATGCGGTCAATTACAGGCAACAAGTCCCTCCAGGTTGAGAGGTTTCAGATCCCCCTATCCCACCCTGATGAAATCCCCCCAGTTCCCCAGCTTGTGTGAAATCATGCGGTGGATTGTTGTGCAGAAAAAGGACCACAGTATGGAGATGTGGGCCGGAACTAATAGGATTGGTTTTGATTCATTAGATTCTCTTTCATCATCCTGGTTGGAATTCCACTCCACGTCTCCTCGGGCTTCACACTTTTAAAATGGAGGTAGGAGGGGGGTAAGTGTTTATAATTGAGCCTCTAGACTGCAAAAGCTCATTACTCTCTATGGAATCATCTGCTTATTGAAACCCCATGGAATCAACATCAGGACCATGTGAATGCAGGCACTGTGTTTGTCAAAGTGCTGACAACCCCGGTACAGGATATGATTCAATGGCTGTCAAAATGTGTAACCGAAATGTTGAATAGCAGTGCACAAAAGCAAAACACAACGACTCGACTGTTTGTTGTATGTGTTACATTGCTTTTGTGAATAAACAGGATATTTTAATAAGGTACATGTTTGTATGACAGCCTATAAATAAAAAGACACAGTGGGTAGATTTTGTAGCATTTGGAAAGAGCCAAGCATGATGTTTTCCATGTTTAGTGTTTAACTATTGCTTCAGCCTTCCCAGATACAACTTAGACAGTAACACTGTGTGCACCGGCAAGGGTGACATGACATCCATTCAGCAGAAACAAGCAAAAAAGATGCTAAAAATAAACAAAAAACCTACACAGATGCCAGTTTTACAGAGAAACAGTTTGCTGACAGTGATGCTAGATACTTAATAGGACCATTAAATAGAAGTACCCCCTATATTCCAATAAGAAAAGAAGCAAAGGTGTCTAATAAAGTGTTAAAGACTGAGATCCATAAAGCAATCTTAAAGATTTTAACATAAAATACATGTTTAAATCAATGTCTGTTGGACATCTGAGGGAACACAGATTGACCCTGTGTCCCACTGATAAAACTATACGAACAATATTATAGTGTTATGAACTGGGTGGAGCCAAATTCCTGCACAAAATCACTGTAACACTTGATGTTTTCCATCATCCGGCAAATATCTTTCTGCCAGAGAGGGTAAGCAGAGCAACACACTCGTTCTCATGAGTGTGTAAAGTGGTGAGCTGTTTTTTTCCTCATCTAAGAAGACAAGTGGGCACTTTATGCTTTTATGTGTGATGATCTTGATTTGCCATTGAGGCGTGGCCCAGGTGCCAAGTGACTGTCGATGTCACACAGGGGACATTATTTGGATATCTGGGAAGGGAGGTTCAAAACGACATAACAGACACCTTTGAGTTCACTACTCTTAAATCAAACTGGGTTGTCACCAAGAGTTGATAAAACAGAGGCAACAAACTCACGACTGAGAGAACTCTCCACACCAAGGGAACTGTAATGATGCATACTAATGCTGATTGCAACATTCACAGCTTTAACTGCCGTCTAAAAACAGAAAATTATTTTTCAAGATAAAAGGGACCAAACACAATGCTCAGATATGAGAAATGCGCTTATCATGTGGATAGAGGATGGAGACACAGCAGAAACACAGCTGCAGCAGTAATGAGTAGAACGAGTCGCAGCACCACAGAGCTGCAGTGGCCGTCGTCCTGAGCTGACTCCCAGTCTGCAGAAGCTTGGAAGGAGAGGAATATTAAAGCGTGATAACTATTCAAAGCACACTGCCAAAATGCCACACAAGAGTTTCTGAAGAAGAAAAAAGTGAAAGTATGCCACTTGACTTGAATTCAACAGAACACCTTTAGGGTATTTAAAAGAGAAAAGTAGAGCAACATAACCTCTATAAGGAGGAGCTGGGAAAAGAAAACGACTCTGAAGAATGGCAGAACATTTCTCCATAAATTTGTGGACATGCTGAGGAGGATTGAGTCTGTAGATACACAAGGAATGGAAAAAAAATATTCGATTAGAATGTCAGTCATGAAAGGAGGTCCTACTGTGAGGCCGACGTTTCCAAAACAGTAAATCTAAACTGTCTATAGAAGAGCAAACTGTTCCAATGAGACATAATGCAGTTATTTGGAGGTGATATAATTCTGAATCATGGGCTGCAAGGTGAAGCAGTTGCCTCGCAGCAAGAAGGTCGCCGGTTCACATCCCAGTGTGGACACCGGAGAGTGGAGTTTGCATGTTCTCTCCGTGCACTGTGGGTTCTCTCCAGGTTCTCCTGCTTCCTCCCACAAGGTCCAAAAACATGTTGAGGTTAATTGGTGATTCTAAATTGTACGTAGGTGTGAATGTGAGTGTGCTTGGTTGTCTGTCTCTAAGTGTAGCCCTGTGATCGACTGGTGACCTGTCCAGGGTGTCTCCTGCCTTNAACTGTCTATAGAAGAGCAAAAACCAGACTGTTCCACTGAGACATAATGCAGTTATTTGGAGGTGATATAATTCTGAATCATGGGCTGCAAGGTGGAGCAGTTGCCTCGTAGCAAGAAGGTCGCCGGTTCACATCCCAGTGTGGACACCGGAGAGTGGAGTTTGCATGTTCTCTCTGTGCAGCGTGGGTTCTCTTCAGGTTCTCCAGCTTCCTCCCACACAGTCCAAAAACATGTTGAGGTTAATTGGTGATTGTAAATTGTCCATAGGTGTGAATGTGAGTGGTTGTCTGTCTCTAAGTGTAGCCCTGTGATCGACTGGTGACCTGTCCAGGGTGTCTCCTGCCTTCACCCTGAGTCAGCTGGGATAGACTCCAGCTCCCCATGACCCTAGTGAGGATTAAGCGGTGTATAGATGATGATGGATAATTCTGAATCACTTGACATTTACGTAGTATTACACAGGAAAGTACTTACATCTGTTGTGTACTGTAACAGTTGTAGACAAAGCCTTCTTCTAGGTATAGTTTCCTCTTTTTTTTTCAAGCCAAGTCTTCTTTAGGTCTAGTTCATGAGATATTTATTGACTTTCAATCAGCCAACGAATGTGATGAAGTGGAATGCTTTTCTGGCAAACACATTTAACATCACTGCAGCAAAGGACAGAAGGCGAACATAATGAAGGTAGATTATCAGCAAGAATCAAATGCAAAACCCCCGTGGCTCTTGTTTGATTCACATACGTTGGCAATGATCAGAATCAAACCACCTACATGTTTCCATGACGATGTCAGACACACTGAGAGGAAATAAAGAAAATCTGTTGAATTTAACGGAAGCGCCTCCAAGTATCTGCTGCAGTGGACCTGGAAGCTACACTTGTCAAACTCTTTCATTACCAGTTATATCAAAAAGTTAATTACCCCAAACTCATGACTGAACTGAGAGCATCATTAAAGTGAAGTTAGAGACTTCTACTGGCTTCACACTTTATTGAAATTAGTTACAGTACAAAATAACAACAACACATAGATTCACTATCCTTCAGTCTATTTAAATATTCACACATTAAATCTTCCAGCTGTAGACAGTCGTGAATGGCACATGACAAACAATGCATGTAGAACATTAATGAACATTTTTAACACAATAACATGTCAGCTCACTGTATTATGGGAATAACAAAGTAGAAAATAGAAGAAACTCAGTCACACAGTACATGTGTTTTTACTATTGCTTGGCCTTAAATATGAAACGCTACAACAGATCACATTTTTAAAAAACTTAATTATGTGTCATTGCTCATGGTAAATGATACCAAATATAAAGAAACAACCCAAGTCTTGTCCCTTTGGTATAAACAGTCAACAACCCACAAACCGTAGTCCATGAACACAACACTGGCTGTCCTGCTGTGTCTGTTTAGGATGCATTCTGCAGTCTGTTTCCACATAAAGGAGGGCTTCTTGCGACTCACCAGCGCTGCTCGTCTTAATGCTCGTGTACATCGGCAGTGTGATCCAAGTGCCAACTCTGACCCTGGCAACTCTAGTGTGTTCTTAAGGCCTTGGCATACACCGGTTCCAGGAAATGCAAGGGGAGCAGCATGAAGAGCGCCACAAGAAAGACTGCACTCACCACGGCCAGGAGCACGTAGCGGCCGATGAACAAAGTGTCCACTATCTGCAGAGGAAAGACAGAATCCATTACAAGTTTGTAGCCACACACTCAACAGCATCTACAGTTAATTCAGTATTGCCTCTGTTATCCACTAGATGTCATCAGAGGGCTTTCACAGAGCAACGCGGTGGCCTTATGGGAGGCTGTGAACAGGCTTTCTGCATACAGGTACAAACACAATGACAAGTCCACTATTACTTGCTGCCTTAAAAAATGTAATCCCCTTTAATTTGTTAAGTTTGTTCCGTCACTGTGCTGTGTAAGCGTCACTGTGCAGAATGGAGGACAGGCTCTCTGTGCTCACCTCAAATCTCATTCTAACACGTACCTGCAGGATTTGTGATAGTTTTAATACCAGGTGCGGTGTGTAATACAGCTTGGAAGAGTGTGATGTGGAAACTTGACACCTCCACATCACATACACGTGGAAGGAAGTGGGAGACAACTTGTGCCTCGTTGTTAAACTTTAACAATGAAAAATATTTGCATATTTATGAATGCATTCTGGATTTTTTAACAGGTAACAAGGTCATTTAAAGAATTTGTCAGTAGCTTGTGTGTTTTAGGCTTCAGATTAATGTTTGGTCTTTAATTCCAAATGATATTCGAATAATATTGACAGTTGACAAGGCAGAATAACTCTTGGGGGAGCTTCAAGGGTCGCTCAGTCAATGTTTTTTTTTTTAAATTTACACACTGTCTTAGATATGAAGCAGTCACCTAGCAGTAAACTGACTGACCGACCCGCAGCTTCAGCACTAGGACATACAGCATCCCCTTTGTGGAAGGTTACATCTAAACTAGCTGACCGCTGTTCGCTGTGTGACTTGAGAGAAGAGTGTGCGGTTGTCAACAAGAATACACAGTTAGATTTCATTTGAGATATCGGGAAATTCCTGGATTGCCTAACTCTGTGCTGCACTCAGCAGACCGGCTGTTCAGGGCCACATTTCATAAAATTTGCAACATGCAAGCTGCGACTAGCATGAGATCATCTTCTTTGTGTTCCTTTTGTCTCTTTTACCTAATAAAAAGAAACAGCACGCCATCGAGCCGTGCAGCAGCATGGGAGGGGGCTGTAGGACTTGCAAAGTTATCTGCGATTTGTGATTGGTGTGCAAGTAATAATAATTCATTTTATTTGTGTAGCGCTTTTCAAAGACTCAAAGACGCTTTACAGGATAAAAGAACAGTAATAACTAATACAAAAGTAGACTAAATACAAGCAAGCAGATAAAAGCAACACAAGATAGAGGTCTAAGTGAGAAAAGCAGAGCGAAACAGGTGAGTTTTTAGATTTGAAAATCACTGGGTCTGTGGTGTCACGGATATGTTGTGAGTTCCAGAGGGTGGGGGAGGCGACAGAGAAGGCCCGATCTCCCCAGGTTCAGTGCTTGGTCCTGGGAACGATTAGGAGGTTGGCATTAGCGGGGCGGAGGGTACGTGAAGGGGTGTAGGGGTGGAGCATATCTTTGAGGTAAGAGGGGGTCTGGTTATGGAGAGCTTTATGGGTGAGTAGGAGGATTTTGAATTTAATGCGGTATGGGATGGGAAGCCAGTGAAGTACAGTACTCACACATACTGTAGACTGTACCTTAGACTTCAAACATAGAATTAAACTGCATATTTTCAGTCCTGTAAACACTCTTGCATCAGTTAGGATTGGAAACCACAGTTGACCACGTACAGCTGAAACTACTTCATATATTAACACTGATTCAATGGACTACATCTGCACAAATACTGGCCAGCCATGAAATATTATCTTTTAGTCTCTGCTGCTCAAAACTGTCATTTTACTAACCTAGACAATGTAAATAAAATAACAAATAAAAGCCTAATAATAAAGCCAGCTTGTGTCTGAACATTTACCACTTGTGTAGCCTCTTGTCATCCTACACACAGAACAAATGATGCTTCATAGAGATAGAAAAATAAGCCAAAGTGCTGTCAGTGTGCAGAGCTCTGATGGAGGTGCTCTGACAATTGTGGTATTTATGATAGATGACCACTTAATGAATGAATTTGGTTGTCAAACCTCTGCCACAAAGTTTGTTTACAGACAAAAAACCTGTGATTGAAGACACTGCTGTCTCTCACAACTACTGGAATATAATGTTGTTTCGGGGGTTCTCTGCAGCGTCGGATCCTGCTGCTACTTATCTAGACAGATGATCGGCGAGGACACAAACCACACAGCACCACAGAGTAAACGTCGATTAAGAGATGTAAAGCAAGCGAGGCGCAGGGCTGAGAGACAACACATCTTCCAGATTGATGTTGCCGTTTTTCTTGGGTTAGGACAAGTTTAGAGTTTTTAAAGTTGCCATCGAAAGATTTAATCAACACTTCAATTATAGCTCTGGGTCTTTGTTAATATTTCGATCATGAGCCACCCATGAATGCGAGAACACAAACTGTGAAACGCCCTTAAGCCAGATAATAGACGGAGTGCAGCAGCCCTACTGCTGTCTGGAGAGAGATTTCACAGGGAAAGTTGCAGAACCAGAGTAGGTGTGTGTGTGCGTGTAAATGGGCTGGTGTCTACGAGAGGTGCAGATGATGTATGCCGTCTCTTATGGATGCATTTAACACATCTCACTTTTTAATTTGCCAATTACACAGCAAGCAGAAGCCCAAAGTGTGGGCCATGTTTTATTAATGTGCCACTTGGTGCACGGGTGGGAGCAGGGAAGTGGGGGGGAGGTGGGGGAAGTGGGAGAAGGGAGGTGTGGTATAAACTACCCCCACCCCTAGTCTGGGACTACCCTAATTGGCACTATGATATTTTACTTTTGTTTAACAGCAAGAGGTTAGACATTTCACACACACACACACACACACACACACACACACATTATCTTTCTGCTTGCGACTAAGTTTCAGGTTTCGTGTGTGTGAACTCGGTGAAAATCACTTCGTTCCAACACGACTACAAAATGTCACTGGCTGTCCCCAGTGGACACATTTATTTTTATTTTTTAAAATATCTTTACATCCATGTTTGCCTTTGTTAAATACTGTTTCTGAGCTGATGGGAGCGGCTTCATACCTGCAATTTTTGTTTTTAATAGTACTGCATTTAAACAGAATAAAGCAAATCCTTACATCCTCTGACTAAATTCATTTATTCCTTTTAATTATTTAATTTTAGGGCATTTTTCTTACATTTTGTCTATTTCTTTTGGTAATGTGTGGCACATGTTTGTGTTTTAAGGTGTAAATTAGCAGCTGGGTGAGCCAAAACCCTTTTACATCTTTGAAGTTTTCTATTCTATAAACTATCCTTTAAAACATTCAAAGGCTGAATATGTTCAAATCATGAATTGTTAATGATGACGATGCTTACGACTGTGACACTCTACAATAATGAGGTTTTAAATGACGTTTTTGTGTTATATATCCCAATTAGAGAAAAGCCAGGCCTCTTGGTTGACAACTCTACACAAAGCAAACTTGTGGAAGTCAGTCGTATTTTTCAGATTTTATATGTAACCATTTTAAAACACTGGAATCAGTTTCTAAAGTGTTCATGGATTATTTTACTTGTACAGAAATCCAGGAAGTTACATTTTTGCTGCCTCTCTCTCCCTCTCTGTTGCTGGTCTGGTATCTGCCTTTGCACAAAAGCTATAAAACATGAGCTGGCCAGGATGGGGCTCTGCTCTGCTATTTCTATGGGGTGGCAGCTTGCTTGGCAGATCTGGCCGGCTTATTGGCACGACCCGGAGGCAACATGGGGGAGTGTTTGTTCTGTGTTGCTGTTGGACTAAGATAAAGCAGAACAGGCCTTTACGACAAGCACATGCACAGAAGTGCACACAGTGACACTATTTACAGGCATACAGTGCTGTGGATACTGGCTTACAGTATTGCACAGTTAAGGTTTCTTGTGGGACAAGTAGTTAATATGCACCTACCTCACATCTAATCTTTATCGTCAATCAGGAAAAATACAGGAAAATAATTCTGCTGTATCACTGTATGAGCTGAGCTTTGCCTTTCAGGGTTTTGTCCATAAAAAAACCATGCACACACACACACACACACACAGGTTTGTTGTATGGTTAACCATGTGTGGATATTTAAAGACATAACACACTCCCTTTCCCTCTATTCTAACCTTAACCATCACAACTAAGTGCCACACCCCAACCCTATCCTAAACCTAACAATTACCTTAAAACCAATTCTTCACCCTCAACCATGCATTTAAAGGGTTGTGAAAAAGGTAAGACTGGTCATCATATTTCCAAAATGTTCTTACTTGATGGCCTAAAGCTCAAAGTAACCCTGTCAGCTGTTAGGAGCATACATCTCTAATTAAAAGCCCTACTTTACTGACTTGTCAGTGTGCATCAGAGGAGCACATGTGATTAAAAAAAAATTGTATGCATGAGATGACCACCCTGCTAAAGTTAGTATTTTATTTGTGGGCTCTGAATCCTCATTTTTCCACTCCAAACCTAAAACTTTTGGTGTTAACACATGCCAAATGGCTTTACATCAAGACTGAAAACATCCCAGGCCTACTTTGATTTTCAAATGAACTACATCATGGTGTCATTAAGCCACAATAACAGATGATAATACCACAAATCTCACTGTGTTTTCAACGCATTAAATTGATTTGGAGTACGTCCATGTCATGGATTTGGCAGCGGTACACAGTAAGTTTAAACTGCCTTCTAATGGACTGAAGAAAATGATGAGTGAAAACATACCCATTCATATTCTAGGCAGGACACATGATATGAATACAAGTTTAGTTAGCTGACTATGCAGAGCAGTCGTCATGAATAAACTCACCTTCTAGTCTGAATTTGTGAGTGTGTGTTAGAGTATGTAGATCCTCACCTCTATCTCTTTGAAAGGCGGCGGCGTCTCCGGGGTGCGAGGAAATAACACCAATACCAAAGTGATGGTGAGAGCCAGGAGAAAAACAGGGATAACTCCTAACCTAGCAAAGACAGTTCAAACAAAGACGATAGCAACCGATTTAATGTTCGCCGTAAGACTTGCAGTAAACACGGGGTTATCTGAGGGGAATGCCAATATAAAGTCCCAATCTACACAACGGCAACCTTTATTGTGTTTTTAAAAAGTTGTTAACTTTCCAATCAAGTAAATAGCACCATGTGTCACGCATTTAAGCTTTACTGTAATTGCACAGTGTTTGGTGTCGCAGAGCATTCTACACAAAAACACACATTTCCTGACTTTGGCAGTCTGATGTTAAGTAATTGCAGAAGCGTTCATCAGCAGGGACTGCAAGATGCATTGTCCGAGCAATCACAAGCGGGTATAGTTAGTAGTTGCATGGAGTTGAAGTAGATTTTTGCTGGTTTAAAAGGGGAGGCAACAAAGATACGTCAGATAAAGGAGTTCAAACATCAGTGCATCACATTGTGTTTTTCCTGCTAGAACACACTGTATAATGTTTTATGATGTATTCTGGGTCCACTTTGAAATTCTGCACTTGGTGTTAATTGAGTACATTTTTAGTTTTTAAGTTCTTGATATTTCCACAGTTATTGTGTGCTTCATTGTGCAGTTTATTTATAGCTGCTTTTACCTGGGTCAAACAGCCATAACATGCAAAAAAACTTAACTTTAAGTCTGTGCTAAAAGCGAAATGTGTGCCTTTGGGGTACTTATGTTTCCTGTGACTGAATAAATGAGACTGTTAGCTGTTTATAGTGTAATCAGGCCTTACATTTAAAATGATCATAGGCAAGTTGCAATATTTTCCATTAAAGAAAAGGCAACATTCCCAATAGTCACTCAAATAGCTAGAACTGAAAAAAGTAATAATAAATAAAAATTTGTTAAATTATAATTTAGTGAAATGAGACATTGCTTTTGAATTGTGGTTGAAAAGAATATTTTAAAAAAACAAAACTGTCCCGGACAAATTAGAGCACTTTGCTGGTGAGCAGTGAGCCAAAATACCTGTCAACAGGTGCAGACGTCTGACTGAGAGTTACAGAAAACACCTGATTGTAGTGATTGGCTCAAAGGGTTGTTCAACAAAATATTAGTTCACGGGTCCCATTATGCTTATTTTATTTTTTTTAATATATTTCTGTTGAGGGCTGCAAGGTGGCGCAGTTGGTAGCACTGTTGCCTCGCAGCAAGAAGGTTGCCGGTTCGCGTCCCGGTGGGGGCACCGGAATCTTTCTGCGTGGAGTTTGCATGTTCTCCCCGTGCAGCGTGGGTTCTCTCCGGGTTCTCCGGCTTCCTCCCACACAGTCCAAAAACATGTTGAGGTGAATTGGTGATTCTAAATTGTCCGTAGGTGTGAATGTGAGTGTGCTTGGTTGTCTGTCTCTAAGTGTGGCCCTGTGATAGACTGGTGACCTGTCCAGGGTGTCCCCTGCCTTCGCCCTAAGTCGGCTGGGATAGGCTCCAGCCCCCCCGCGACCCTAATGAGGATTAAGCGGTGTATAGATGATGGATGGATGGATATTTCTGTTGAACCACAATTCAAAAGCAATGGCATGATGTTCATTAATTTTTTATTCATTATTACTTTTGTCAATTTCAACTTATTTCAATGACGGCTGTTTTTTGTCCTTCTTTAATGAGAGGGTATGAATACATTTGAGGACGACTGTATATCTGATATTCTTTCGACTGTATTTATCATGACTTACAGATGGGTGTTGATCTCTTTTCCAATTATCTGATGGGTTAAAGTCTATAAAATATAACCCTAATGAATGAAAGCAGTCATCTTGATGCATCAACAACATTTGGGTCCAGTGTGGAGGCTGCAGCCACTTTTCCAAAGTGGAAAACGACATTATGTTAGTTGACTTGAATTTCATCCAAGACTGAGGACTGGATTGCTTTCGTAGTAGGTAAATAATGCAGATAAAGGGATATTTGCTTTTGGAGACGATCGCTTTCTGACAGAGTTTAAGACTGTGGCATTGTACAGTAACACCCGGTGAGTCATGAATATGCATCATTACAATGCCGTTATTTAAGTTATTCATGTTGCAGAGTGTCTGTACTTCTATTGACGGGTAACACAGCATTAAAATGAATATGGCACTGAGTGATTTAGACATGAGATCTTCCATAAAGGCGTTTCTTTATAAATAATAGAATAATACAACGTAAATATCTTCCGACGGGGTTTAGGATTGTGTGGATGATCTCACTTACTTTGCTGATCCGGACGCTCTGAGCAGCATCGTCCCGAACACCAGAGCCGCGATCCAAACGACCGCAATGATAAAAATGCCGGTACCGACACCCAGCACAGTATCTGACATTTTTCCGCAACGTTGCTTCTTGCTAACACGCCACCATCTATAGTTGGAGTGGATAACCGCCGTCGTCGCGTCCTGTGCTTCCTGGTAACAGCCAACTGGCGTGTGATTGGATAAATGAGCTGGGTCTGTAGCCAATCAAATACGTCGTTACTGCAGAGTGAAGCCCGCATGGGAAATAGGTACACAAAACTTCACTGAGCTCTTCTGCTTTATTTCCAACATGTTGGGACACTGTTTTGCTGTAGAATCCAAACCAGAACCAAAGTTAAATCTGATAAAAGGCTGCTGTGCTCCGTTTATCTCCCTGTAGAGCTGTGCTCTTCTATTCTAGTCAAAATCCCAGCTTTTGTTTTCAATTTTACATTCGGGTTACATTGCTAACCAGTGTTTTCCCTCAGAGTTAATTAACCGGCAATGTTTGAAAACCCAGAAGAACTGAGAATCTCCGTTAACTGTGTAGGTCCAGTGACCGAACCCCATAGTTTTCTAAGAAATCAATAAACATACTGAGGTAGACAGTTTTAGTCACTGACTCCTATCATTTGCTTATGCAGCCAAGACTGCCATGCAGAAATACACAAGAACTCATATACAGTATTTTTAATGTAACTCTTCATTAATTAAAAAACAGGAGAAGAAAAGTTATGCTTTTTAAAATTACTGATACACCTTTTATTTCCAAACTTCCTCACATAAGACAATCACAAGTAAGACACTTATGTCAAAAGTGTTCTTATCCTGCTCAGGACACCCACTTTGTTTTGGATCTAAATTAAGATGTCTGCCCGTTGCTAATGATAGACAACAGAGTTCCAGCTAAGGTGCCAGCCTTTCATATCATTTACTCTCAGACACAGGTTCAGAATCTGCTTTGGCACTTTATAGGCTTTTTAATGTTCACAGTGATGATTGACATCATGAAATACGTAATCCAGGAAAACTCTAAGCTCCATTTTTGCCACAGGTGTTCACAAAGTAGATCTGCAACGTGATTCTTTCCACATTTTAATTCGTAACAACTTCCTGCTTGTTAATTGAGAGTGTTTATAGCAAGTGACTGAATCACTTCAATCGCTCTATCATGCATTTTCTGAAGCCATGTTGATTTGTCCAATTGACATAGGCTATGTCTTAACCTCATTTTATTGTTCATTTTTGTCAAGCTATCAGGTAGGGTCTTTGTGTATTACAAGGGCAGCTTTGGTCCATCTCTGTCTGTAGTTCTTCTTTGCAACTTGGGGCTCCTGCTTGCAGCACTGCTCTTGGTCCCACCTGTTTTCGAAGAATGTAATAATGAGTGCAGACGACAGGGGGCTGGCCAAAAAGGGTGATTCAAAGGCGTGTGTGTGCATCTGGAAGTTTACTGGGAGGATACATGTTGCCTTTAGGTGACCCTCGTAACATCCAAACATCCGGCGTTTAGTGCTGATTCAGATGCATAGTTAGGAGGTCAGGTGGTAGATGACTAAACCTATTTAAAACCATTCAGAGCAGTTAATACCAAGAGTAACAATAAAACCCAGGCCAAACTGTTCAAACTTTAGTGGTTTGTCCACACATTATTTGACGTTCTCTGCACTCTCAGCACCATCAAACAGATTAAAGTTTAAAGAGCAGGTAATACATGCATCTGTCTCTCATTCTTGTGGACCCTGACCTGTAACCTGGCGTCCAGGATTTTGTTTGCTTCAGTTACTGGTAAACCTGAATGTGATAGGAAGTGACTTTATTACAATAAGGGAGCATTTGTTAAATGAACGTCACACAACAGTTCTAGTGACTATAGGCCAGTTGACTAGTTTCACATCTACAACTTTAGAAATAATAATTTCAACATTCTGTGACCAGTGTTTCGTGACTCTTTATTTGCAGTTCCTGGTAGAGTCATACTGTGTTATTTCTAATGTAATGGACGGCTGTTTTGCTGATTCCAACCCTGTTAGCAATGGCTCCAAGATGGCTGCCTTGTTGTCATCTTACAGTTCTCTTCTTTTCAGTATTGTTGATTGATGATTTAGTTTGGATTATCTGTTGACTTTACACATGCAGTTTATTACAAAACAAAACGGTGACTCAAAAAATGTGTCTGGCCATGTGAAGTGTAAATTTTGGAATTGTTATAGTTTTAATACCTTTTCTTTTAATGTGTTCAAAGCTCGTTGTGTGGACTTTGTAAAGCAAACAGCAGGTGATTTCATATTATTTTCCGAAGCTGTGGACCAGAATGACCTAGAAGGCAGTTGCCTGCAGTGGGAATTAGAATTTCTGGAAATTAATTAGGGATTGATTGGGTTTCTTGCAGCAAAAACCTAATGCTTGGAACTTATAATTTCTGGCTGCCACCAGCCAGCGCCACACCATGTGAAAACTGAGAAGCAAATAAAATGACTGAATAGATGGTAGTCTACACTCTAAAAACGTATGTTTGGGCTCAACAAAACCAAAAAGTAATGCAACGTCTCATGGAATTATGTTGGAAATTAGCAGTCAAAGGCATTGTTAATTACCTCACGATTAGTAGCATAAACATAAGCTGATTACTCATAAAACCTGTGTTTCTCCAACTGATATTTTCATGTTATTTAAAGTAGATTTTTAAGTATTATAAACTTAATTACTATCATTCTGAATACAAGTTTTTAAGCTGACATATTTTCAAAATAAAGTTAGAATGCTGCTTAGGTTGGGGAGTAGACTTGGAATCCAAATTGTGTTGTGGTACCTCAACTTGGATTCAGGGTTAAATCAACCAACGCAGAAACATGTGTTTAAATGACACACAGTATTAAGTTGATGCAATATTGTCTATGCATTATAATAAGGTCTGCAACTTTTTAAGTTTAGCTAAATCAGTAAACAAGAAGTTTTAGCTTGCAACCAATCAGTGGAGATGTTAACTATGCCTTTATGGTTGATGGTGAAAATTCATAAGTGACTATAAATGTTCAAATGTAGTGTTTTTAAAGCTGATCAGGAGCAATGAAATGCTGCATTTTGATTTATTTTTTAAAATTTTGATTAGTTTGCTTTCTGAAGCATCAGTTTTTTATTTATTTATTTATTTATTTATTTTCAGGACACGCAGGATAGAAGTGCTGTCATTTTTTTTTCTCCCCTCGCGGAGTCCTGCACGTGATTGCCGTATTTCCCACGGACACTGGAAGGCATCAGCAGCCCGGTGTTGGGAAAACGGGGAGCGGAGATGAAGATGGAGGTGGGAGGGGCCTGGCGGGGCTGACGTCAGCGGCTGTGTGGAGGAGTATAGGCTGTGCTGTCAGCCCAGTGTCAGTCTGATGAAGATTGGCATGCAGGTAAGCTGTCATTCATTTCCAATGTCAGTGCATGGGAGCAGGGCTTTACCACTTCAGCGTCCTTTTTTCCCCTTTCCCCCCCTTCATTACAAAAGGCAGGACATTATTCATACAGTCAGACAGGCAGCCAGGCCAGAGTGAGGGAGAGAGAGAGAGAGAGAGGGAGGGAAAGAGAGAGACAGAGAGTGAGGGAGGGAGAGAGAGAGAGAGAGAGAGAGTGAGGGAAAAGGAGGGAGGGAGGGAGGGAGTGAGAGAGAGGGGGGGACGTAGAGGAGGGGGGAGAAAAAAGAGAGAGGGAAAGGAGAGGAGATGCATTTTTGTGCTGGACTGAAAGACCACAGGATTTTTTTTTTCTCCTTTTTGCTTGATGCGACGTTTGGATTTTTTTTTTTTTCCCTTAATTTTTAAAAAAATTGTCTCGGTAATGTTTGCGATGCAGATATATGTAGGATGAGCGGACGGACGCTTCCGTGCAAAAAGGTTGTAATTTGCAGAATGAGAATAAAAACAGTGAATGGATCGGGCAGAATGAGCGCAGAGCTGCAGGGAGCTGCTGGCGCTTTATTAGTTTTTTTTTTCTTCTGTTTTTTTCCCCTTCTTTGCCAATTAGCACCGGAACGCCACATAATGTGTTTCGACTATTTGTAAATTAACGATGAATACGTGATGGTGTGACTCTTCCACGTAAAAGTCGCGTTGTGTTGTGTCTTCACTTGCTTCTGCAATTGTCCTAATGTTGAAGTTCTAGTGGCGTGTTAGTAAAAACAGGCTGTTATTTCTTACTGTGCAAAGTTGTAGGCGGTGTAAAGCAACTCTGTTTTGATCCAAGTTAATTCACTAGATGTGTTTTTAATTATTATAATAAATTGTATTCTAGACTGTGTGTGTGTGTGTGTGTGTGTGTGGCTGGTTTTGTTTGTGACAAAATAAACACATGAAAACAAATGCATCAGATTGGGAAAAAAAAAAAAAGAAAATTCAGCTTTTATATTTATCATTTACATTTTTAATGATCTTTTAAATAACTGAGCTTTTTTTTCTGTACAGATGAATGTGTAACTTCTTCATTTCCTGTCCAAAAACAGCAGTTTTATAAAGCAAAACACTGTTTTCCTGTTTTCTTCACTTGTCAGTGTTGGAAACGGTTGAACAAAGACTCTAATTCTCTGTGATTTTCTTGATGAACTCTTGATTGAGGTGTTGCTGCATCTCGGTGAGGTCTAATATTTACTCTCAGCCTACTCTGCCCTGCGAAAACCTCCCCAGACTGAACACTGGCCTTCTTTGTGTGCCACTCACCACTTTCTATTTCAGATGACTGGTTTATTCCACAATTGCTTCTGTGAATCTTTTGCTTGTGAGAGATGTTTAACCGGCTCAGAACGATGTCGGCGCACAATTCGTTGCTCCCTGTTTGATTAGAATTTAAGAAAGTTGCAAGTGGAAAGGCGCAGACTGGCAGCTCGTTTGCAGGGTTTTCGTTATTCAGCAGGTACACATGCAGATTTGGAAACCACAAGTGAAATTGCAAAAAAAAAAAGAAGAAAGAATAAAGGAAATCTAACTTTAACGTCCCAGATATTGTCGTCAGTCAGTGGTGAAATGCATCGTGCAAACTAAGGGCCTTGTCATAGCTAAGACCTTCGTCTGAGCACGGGGAGTACATTAGCTTAATTAAATATGCCAGAACCATTTGTTTACTAATCATCTGCTTCCCTGAGAAATC